GGTAATGAGTCTACGATCTTGTACAAGGAGATGTATGGCCGCTTCGTGCCGTTTCAAAAGATCACTCCGACGAGGCAGATTCTTTCCTTGACAATGGGAAATACCGTCATCCTGTTTTCAGTGGAACAGAATACCGTAGGAATTTATCAATACAACGGCTGGAGATTTTTAAGATTGCGTACGAAATTATCGAACTTTCGACAAATTCGTTCTATTCGTTCATATGACGAAGACATGCTCGTAATACAAAATCAGGCCGGAGAATGGAAATTCTTAAATCCTACTTGGACAGTGAAAAAAACGTGGAAATCTTTACTGGACGAAACAGCCACTTGGTGTTCCGAGACCAAACAACAGGCATCTCAGAGAACTTTGAAAAAACTTCCAGATTTAAAGAGTCCCGTGATTTCGAACGCGCACATCGGTCAACTTCGTATGCAAAATGTAAAACACTGTCTCTTGATTTCTGTCAGTTTAAATAAAAAATAAAATTTCATATTAACTCGATTAATATAATTTTGTATTTGATGCTAGATTAACGGTCAGAATGCAGAGGAATTGGTCCAATTAACGAAGCGATATAAGAGTATAAATGCTAAATTGAATCTGACGAACAGCCTTTTGACACAAAGAACAGAAAATGCTGAAAAATCTAAGCATATAGTCTTGCATGGCAAAAAGCTCACAATCAAATGTAAAACGAATTGTCATATTCATCGTATAATTATGGATGGCGGGATTAAACCCAAATATGTGAAATCCAAACCCAATGAGGTCCTACAGCTCGCCAAATTGAAAGTAAAGACGCTACTTGACTGGAGATGCCCCGTTCCTAATTTTAAGATAGATGATATTTTCGTTAAGAAATCTATTAACGGAATATTAATGCGAGACCTGCAAGAGAGAGCTTTGAAAATTTCAGGAGATCAAGTAATTACAGGTGATTTAATGCGCTGTGCTGATTGTGTTTCTTTATTACATGTCTTGTATTACTCGTACATTATGTTTAATATATGAATTTTAGGTAATCATGTTTTCGCCAATTTGCGTGCGACAGACGTTTTGATTCCTTTAAACATTGCGACAAGAAGTATTGAGCAAACAGTGTACATGAAAGAGGCGAGAGTAAAAGATTTATATCTAACTAAGGACGAATTCTTTTTGCCATTAAATGGTCCCACCACTATAATGCACAGTTCGATAACTGCTACAAAAGTGAGACTTACAGGACTTGTCAAAACATCAGGCAAAATAACAGGCAGAGGAATTGAAAGATTAAAGCCTTTGAAAGAGATTCTCACACCGTTGGTATTGTCTGGTGATCGTTTCCTGCAGAATGTAACGTTCAGCAATTTTGTTAAAGCTAAAGATATCGTCAGGTCTCGTGGGCTGTCGATGAAAGAAATCTTAGAGAATACTGTACCGTTAGATTCTAACGTATCGGTGCATTTGATATTATCCAGCAACAAAACAGTAATTATTTCAAAATTTGTGTTTGTGTGTGCACAATTTTGAATTTACTTTACATTTTTATTTTCAGCAATGGAGCAACGTGACTATGTGGGACTTTGTTACTACAAATTTCGTAACGAAGAATTCTGCTGAAACTATTATTATTTCTGGAACAAAATACACGAATAATAATGTCACTTTGTCGAAGGCTGCCCATCAAAATCTTCCCATTCCAAAGTACACACATTTTTTTGTTTTATGAAGCACATATTCTACATTCTCTAAAAATATATACTTGCAGATTGACGATTCCTCTATGTGCAAAAGAAGTCATCACTCCGGAAATTAGAACTTCTTCAATGAAAATGGGCGATATATTTGTAAAAAATTTAAATGTTTCACATGTTCTTGGAGCTCAAAATTTGAATACAACCATTTTCGATTCGGTGTCAGATTTGCACAACATTGACTTTTCAGCGAAGCTATTCACTGGTCAGGTTTTCATAAAAAACATATCAGCGTTAAAAATTAAAGGAATAAATCTAAAAAGTAAAAATAACTAAAATTGGTCTAAATCTCACACTACACTCGATATTATGTAGACCTAAAAATTGCAGTGAACGAGTGGACAGGTGAAAATCGCATCAAAGGACCAGTAAATCTTAAGAAACTCGTCGTTAATAATCTCGAAACGCCAGCCTACTTCAATCTCTCTTTACCTAGAAGAGTAAAGAACGTAATTATAAAAGGAGATAGCGATATTGGAAAAATCAATGATATAAAAATACAATCTTTTATGGAAAATGTTTTGAAGGTGGATGATCTAATATCTTTAGGACACGTAACATTCGGTAAGTTTACGTGTAATATTTTCCCATTAATTTGAAATAAAAATTTAATGCGCAATTTATATCTTGAAATTTTTTTGCAGCTCGTGGTTTTACGTCAAGCAACATATATGCTTCCCACTCGACGTTAAAACTTCCGCATTTAGATACAAATCTCAATTTAGGTTCAAAACAGATTTCTACTACTCTAAGTACAGATGCGATAAACGTACCACAGACATTTGGTTATGTCGCAAGCAATGCACCATCTACATTTATTATAGAAGGTACAGTGATGGGAATTTACTAATTATATTTTATGATAGGATTTTAATGATGTATGTAAATATTTCTACTTTAGGATCAGCCCGATTTTTGAAGGAGCCAGTTATAGAAAATATAAAAGATGTGAATCTAAAGCAATTATCTGAAAATTTATGGATGGCAAATCAGGACACAACTTTATATGGTAACAATATATACTTCGAAAATATTACTTTAACAGGAGATATCATCCTAAAGGTAAAAACATTAGTAAAACAAAAGATATCTTACGTATAAAAAAAATAATATTAACCATAAGAAATTTTTTCAGCATTCTAATAATTCATTGAATCTAAACATGTGGGAGGATATGAAATGCAAATTTTTAAGCAAAACGAAAACACAGCATATTACCGTAGCTTCGTCATTTAAGAATGTTGAGGTGCCTTCTATGAACGCAGAAAATAATTCAATTCTACAATCTTCAGACTTGAATTTGAACAATTTGTTGACTAACTCCTTGATGAAAAATACGACGCAAACTATAGATGCTGCATGGCATTTTGAAGAATTGTACATAAGTAAGGCAGAGAACATTATTTTTCTTAAAAAGATGAATTAAAAAAAATAAATTATATCTTTAATTTAGATAATATGATTTGGGATGGTAAATTTAATGGAATCGATTTAAACACGGATATTGTTAGGCGTGACACAAAACGTAACGTTGTCACCGGTAAGAAAATGATATTAAGCTTGACAGCTAAAAATCTCCAGGCATTAAATATGAACTTTTCGAACTTTACTAAATATGCTGTAACTAAAAAATGTCAGAAGTTGTTGGTGATTAAAGGTCAAAAAACTTTTACCAATATTACTTTGAATAATTTGAGGTAATTGATATTTCTATTAAAACAATATTTTTGTTAAATGTCATTAAGAACTTTTAATTTTTTTTTTTTAGCGTCAAAGGTACGATTATGGGTCGCAATATCGAAGACGCATTACTGAAGTCCGGAAACCAAACGTTGTTCGGAACCAAGAGGATACAAGGCCAGTTTAATGCAACATCTCTTGTTATTGATGGTACTGTGAATGATGTAAATCTGACGGAGTTAATAAACAATCAAATGAAGAAACATAAAGCGGTGCAGACGATAGAAAGTAAGATGGATTTCAGAAATGAAATTGAAATTTTTGGAAACATCACAATCGGTGGACTCTATGAAGGGATAAATTTAACAAATATTACGAAAAATAAAATAAATACAGTTTTTGATAGAATGACGGAAGTCATGACATTGACGGAAGATATAACAACTGCGTTGCAAAGTAAGTTATATATTCAGATCATTAAACAGCATTTAAGAATGAATAATATAATATTAATTCAACAAAATATTATTGATCATTTTGTGTGCAGATCGTGCTATTTACGTGAACAAATTTGAAATAGTGGACAAGGATATATTGCAAACCGTTTCTAACATTTCTAACACAGAGGACATGAATCTTAACAGTACCTGTCTTTGCGAGTCAAAGAATACGTCTTTAATTTGTAATGATACGGAATTATTGTATGCTATCGCCGGTACAAATGCTAGCGCGTTTGTGATGAAGAAATTGATAATGCTGGATGATACTATGTTTCTAGTATTAGTGTCAAAAGATTTCGTCTCAATTTATTCGTATACCGATGAACAATTTTATCAGGTAGCAGGTAAATCTCACAAAGAAATATTTAATCATATTATAGCAATGAAGAATTTTGTAATATTACGAAATAATATTTGACAGGATTATACGTGCCTGATATACTTGAGGTATTTGTGGAATCAATCGATTATTCGTTATGGATTTTTTTACGATTGTTCGAGGAAATCTTGATATTACGTTATCACACATGGAATGAACTCAATCAATACGTTTTGCCGGGTTCAAGTTCATTTGTAATCAGTAAGACGCCGAATGGTCAACATCTGTTAATACGATCCGATGGTATGTGGAATCTCGGAGGACTTTTCCGTCCGGAACACATTTTTAAAATGTCTTTGGAGGGGCAAATAAAAACCTTCATTTTCGGTGCCGATTATTATGTCAAAGCAACAACAGAGAATAGCACGACCGTTTTAAAAGCACGATATATAGGAAATTAATACGCATTATTTCTTAGTAATACCTGCGGAGAGTTATTCAAATTCGAGAAATTCGGTACGTATACATAAGTATTTATTTTATATTTATCGTTCTTACTTGCAGTAGCTTGAAATAAAAAGAGAAAAACGCAAGATGAAAATTTGTAGATATATATTAATTGTATCTATATTAACTGCTAAAAATATATTGAACTGCATTGCATCAAATTATTTCTAGTTTATTATCACAAATGGATAAGAATGTAAAAAGACGAATATTACAGATCGGGAAGAACCAATTTTTAAGTTAAACTTAGGCTGTCATAATTATGGAAGTTGTAGCAGTCCCCTAAGAAAGAGATAAGAAAGTTTTACCGTTTAATATTACCTTAACATATAATTAATTGTAACGACACGTACTTCTTCAACTTCTTTAAGGATCATTATTTCTTCTCTTTTGTTGGATTTGTTCTCGTTATTCATTTTTGTTTCCTCGATTTTATGTCGTTTCTGAAAATCGGTCATTCGTAATTTTGTGACATCACTTGCGTTATGCGTGTTCTCTTTAGTTATAGATTTTTTTTCTACGAAATGTAAAAAAATTGATTCGCTCGGAGTGCACATATTGCAAAATTATTCAAGGTAGTCTCGCAATCGAATGCGCGTGTACACCAAATGGATGCAATATTCTACGCATCATCATTACGATGTACGACGGAAACGATACTAAGAGGCATTTAGACTTATAAAGAATGTCTAAGAGCAACGATTGTACGATTGGGACTATCTCCGCCCGTACCGTTTCCTTCTTCATAAATTTCTCCTCGAACCTCTTGCGTTCCTCCATCGCATTATTAAGCGCGATTTGTTCCGCGGGAGAAAGCATCAGAAGGCGCGGATCCATGGCGATCCATTCGCTCTGTACAATCTGATCCGTATGAGGGCGTTTAGATACGTCCGGCTCGAGCAAATTGCCTACAAGCTTCTTCACACGATCGGTTAGACTGTCGATTACTTTGCTGCGGAATTTCCATTTGCGCGATATTTGCAGCTCGTATAGGCGCTTTAGATTCTCCTCGTCGAATGGCATGGATTTGTTCAACATTATGTAGAGAATCACGCCCAGTGCCCATATATCGGATAACTTTGGATTGTACGGGTAACCACGGAGGATCTCCGGCGCCGCGTACGACAGCGAACCGCAATACGTATCGCTCAGAACGCGTTTGCCATGGCTGTCAATCATGTATCGAGCAAAACCAAAGTCCGTTAGTTTAACGTTGTAATTTGATGTGATAAGAACGTTTTCGCATTTAATGTCGCGATGAGCTATTTCCATCTCGTGTAGATATTGAAGACCTGGTAAATGAATATGCATTAGGGGAAACATCCGCAAACAAATGCATATTAAATGCACAAATCTAACTCAAATTATAATTATTAACTTATTATTACTTTTATTAATTGCATTTGTGATTGATCTCTTTAATAAATCTTGGAATGCTCATGTTTTTTTTTAAATTAACACTGAACAAAAATTCACCCATAAAATCAAGAACTTTTTTACACCTTTTTATATCTATTTTATAGTTGCACAGGTAATAGAATTATTATAATAATATTAGTTCTATATAAAAATATGAACTTCAACAATCTATGTAACAGTAAACATTTAAATTAGTACTCAGGTGAAAATTCACTTATAGCAGTATTATAGTTAAGCTGTTATAGTAATGCTATTTCTTCAAGAAGTATCACGATACCTAAAGCAAGTTGTCTGAACCACACGCGAGCTTGACTCTCCGATACTCTGCCGTTTTTCAGTATAAAATTAAAAAGATCGCCGTTTTCAGCAAAGCGCATGAATATAAAGTACTTGGTGCGCCTTTGGAAGATACTGTGAATGTGCACGACATGTGGATGATTCAGTTTCACCAGAATGTCCAGCTCACGTGGCAGGAACTTCTGAACAAAGTCTTTTGCTATATTAGCAGTGTCGATTACTTTACAAGCCAGAAAGTTATTACTCGTTTCCGACTCATGTTCCGGCTTATATTCAGCTAAATACACCTACAACGAGATAATTAATGTTTAAAGTGTCTGACAGGAACAATAGAGATTTTTTAAATTAGGATACAGACTTTTGCATAACAACCTTCGCCGAGCTTCCTCCCAAACTTATAACCCCGGGTTAGCAGTGTGGCCTCCTCGGATGGTGTATGATGATTCAGATTCGACATGAGATTTGTAGGTATACGATAGACATTCTACCCGCTGCATTACCATAATTCGTAATTAGCCGTTCTCACTTTATTCGATGTTTAGACACAGATCGCATCGTGAATGTAAATAACTAGATGACGTTGCAGAATCTCCATTCGTGCATTCGACAAAGCAAATTATCAAGACATTTATGTACTATTCTATTTCTTTATCTTGACGATAGTGACAAATCTTATACTAAAAATTTTGAAAAATTCGAAAGAGCGGTTACTTAACCATTTTGACGATAAACTGACATGGATCAATGAACTTGAACCGAGCTCGGCCCTATCGAAATAATAATCGAAAACAATTAAACATCATAAAAGTAGAAAAGCAAGATAAATTTAATGAATTGACATATCTGTACACAAATATAAAACGTTGGAAATTATTCATATTTTGTTTTCACAGCTTAAAAATTTTTTAATTAATACTAGAAACGCTGATAGTATCCCATTAGAACTGCCGAAGGTGCCAATTTGATAATTTCCTATCTCTTGGTTAGTGAAAAATTATTTTTGTATTTATTATATTATTTATATCGTTAGAAATATTATATTCACATATTTTCAATATTATATATATCTAATGCAAGATAAAAGAGTTAAAATAATTAGCGGAGCCACAATGGCACCATCGGTTGTTTTAATTAATCAATGTGCATTTCACATAATATTTCACAGCTCAGAAGCGTACTCCAACCGCTTAATGACCATTTTGTATTCCTCTTCCAAAATCCGGTATTCCTTTTCTAGTATTTCTTTGCGTTGTTCATCAGATGGTAGTCCATTACCATTCGTGTACGTGCTTTTATCCCCGGTATTCTTCAACGCGCGCTCTATTTTCATCTCCTCATTCTGTTTTCTTTTAAATGGTATATTCAGTCTTTTCTTTACATCTATTCTATACGCTCGATATTCTTCTGCATCCGCGACATTTGTCGCCTGCAATCGTAGAATTTCATACACTATGCGAGCCTGTTTCTGTGAACAAAATATTTACAAAATAGAGAGAAAGGAGAAAAACAAGTAATGATAATACAAAATAAATCACATGTTAATAGATACCTTATTTATTCTTAATGCATTTCTAGCCTCAACAATCATTTCATTATCAAAACCATGCTTTAAACGTTTTGGCGCGAAACTGGACAATGTGCTGCAATTTAAGGCATCCACATAGTTTCGTAGTCTTTGAAAATCTTCGGACGGACTTTCCACTATAAACATAGATTTATTAAAATGCAGAATCATTAACGCGCAATGTTGACCGTATTCATATAAACATTAGAAATGTTACTTTTAGTTACTTCGAAGATGTGAAACTTTGGAAGAATTCAAATCTTCAAAGTTAAACTTTCGACGTTTAAAAAATACATTTGTGCAAATAAAAAAAAAAAAAATATATTCATAATATATATTCATAAATATATTAGTACATTTTTTAATGAAAATATTTTCATTATTATCATCATATTAAATTAATGATTGTATAATTTTTAATTTTTTGTTCCAAGCTTCAAAAAAATTTTTAATATCAAAATTTTGAACCTTTCGAAATAAATCATCGTCGTAATATAATATTCTCGCTAGTATTGAAAGTCTATAGTATATATGATGTAAATTATAAATTTTTAGTAGCAGTGCATATCGGAATATGCTTTTGCCGACGATTATTCTGTTACCTGTTATATCCTTAACTTCGCGCCTTCCCATGTATTCGCGATAAATCGCTTGCAACAAATGTTTGCCAAGACCTATTCTTCGAAATGGTGGTAAAATTAAAAATTGAGCGATGCGTGGCCGAATATGTTGTGGATAAGCATAATATTGATACACAGTAGCGAAACCAATTGTTGCATATCGGGTAGTACCCACAGACGTGGTATATTTTTCAAATCTTTTAAAAAAGTGATTATTCAATGAAGATCATGTATACTATACACATCTATATATTGATTTGAGTAATAGGATATCGAATGACTTACAAATTAAAATACTGCCATTGTTCGTCATCGATATCAATAAAAAGAGCCGCATCTATATACCAAAGAAGGAATGTTTGAATTCTTTGATGATATTCTTTGAATCCTTTGTAACCCATATCTGCCTTATAAATCACAAATTGCCTCGTCATGCCTTCATCTATGTATCATTCAATAAAAACAATAATAGTAATCGTTATAGTTTTTAAATTTGACAGTTACATGTATAGAAACAGAAATAAGAGAATTAGATACCATTTATTGAGAAAGACTGTATCAATTCTCCATATGGTATAAATGTATCATCCTTGGCAAGCGCCTTAGTGAAATTCGCTAAGCTATAGTGAACATCAGGAGCGAGCTTTGGAATGATCTTTGTTAACACCTCATCGGCTTCAACTCCCTCATGTTTTGCATTTACTTTCTCAGTATATTTCATTCCTAAATATGTTTCCAAAGAGCCTGCCGAATAGAACAGCTGTACTTTCAGGTCCAAATAACCAAATATTATTTCCCTACGAAGAATAAAAAGAATAAGAATAACAAGATCCACACTTACATGAAAATACAACACACATATATTTCATGCATGATGTGCATAATGCATCATTTATTCTTGTTCAACATTCGATAAATAACAAGGATAAATGATAGGATAAGGATTATGCGTATGTTTACATAATAATTAATAAAAAACATAAATCTCAATAAATTAATATTATAACAACAAACCTATCTCCGAATACTTGATAAGTCATCTCCGGTTTGAAGATAGCCTCTTCCGAATGCAAGTCATCGAGATTGCGGATTAATCTGAGTTCCAGAGCTTCGTTACTGTCTGCAACTAACTTCTTTAGACGTGCTGTTGTTGAATCTTCCATTTTTATAAAGAATCAACGATAGAATTGAGGAAAATAATTTGTGGTCGTTAGAACTCCGATTTTTCTTGATTTTAAGGATTCGACCTTGGAAATAAAGATCAAAATAGGTTAGAACACTGCAAGCAAACAATGTCGAGATGACAGCGCAAAAGGACAAATTCCTGATATTATTGATAAACCGTGTAATGGTGATGCACGATTGGATTACCGATTGAAACCTTTTACGTCAATCCTTGATACCCAAACACGATTTGGCGCCAAAACGGCGGTTTCGAGCAAAGTGATTTCCGAATGGAACCGTTCGCAATTGCTTCCTCAATCATCGACAAAGTATTATAAAGACTAGTTTTATTTAAGTTTGTGTGCTATTAAAATTTTGATGATTATCCTATAATTACCTCATAATGTGCAATATTAATTTTATGATTTATTATTAATGTTTAATAGATAAGCATTATTTCGATATTGAACCGATTTTTATTAAAAATTTCACTTTCATTGTTATTATCCATGCATGATAATTGTGGAGAAAATGCAATTTCGTGACACATATGTAATATTATTACATCTCTATAAATATGCTTATTTTTATAAAGAACTTAATATAATAATAAATCTTTCATAAATTTAATACATATTTTATTATGAATATATTTTAAAAATTTTTTACGTCTTCAGTTGGTAATGTCAAATACTTCAATTATCTCCCATTCGATAGTCATGTAAATTTATCTAGTAAAGTTGGCCCTCTCTAATATTATAAGACATGGTAGTATCTTGCCGCTAATTTTAATAATTTTAATACACGTTTATGTGTATTCTATTCAATTATAAAATTTTATTCCGAATTTCAGCAAAAATGATAAATCGTTTAAAGCGGATTTTATTCTGTATATCTAAATTTAAATTGTTCAACACTTACTTTATAAAAAAATCAAATTAATTATATCAATTATATCAATTTAATTATAAATATGTAAAAATTAATACATTAAATAGATAAGTGTATGCATTTAAGGATGCATTCTGATTAGAATGTCAAAATACTAGAAATTGAACATAATTATAAAAAAAAATTAATCACGCAGATGATTCACATAAAAGAACAAAAAAATGGTATCAATTGTACGAAAGATATTAAGTTGTTGGATGGAGCATATCTTGACATACTATAAAAACTTTCACATGCTGTTAGCGTTTTCTCTCTCACTAGTTGTAATATTGTAATCAATAACGATCAGGTTTACACAAAATATTGTGAGTTTCTTTATGTAAGTATAATATGATACACTATCTGAATGTTATCTTAATCGATAATATTTATCATATTCAAGCTATTATTACGTTACAGTTGCAATTATCAAAATTTTAATTTATTATTGAATTAATTTATTATTGTTGATGAATTCTTTTTCCAAAATTACACCATGTTACATAAGTTTAACTATAATATTTTATAACTTTAATATTTTATTTTAAAAAAGATAGTTTTCTTAATAATACATATTCATAATTCAAAAAATTAATTTGATTTAGAACAATTTTATATGTTGACTTATATTATATACAGAGGACTAACACGATTCTCGCTGTCAAATCTAGATTGAATAATTTTGACTGTTATATATTCGTTTTGGACATGATATGACAAAAACTATTTCGACTATAATAATCTCGAAGAGGACGGATGATATTTTTAGAATGTAACCTTATTTTGACATGTTAGACTGTAGAATTTAATATTTTAATTAATTGTATTTTATTGAGGAAGACTGTAAGTCAAAACGTTTACTGAATTATTTTATGTATTAACTATAATTAAATTATTATTATTCTAATATCTCTTTTTGCTCGTTTATTAATTGTTATCAAGAATTTTTATATTGCTTTGCAAATTGTTGAGCGTTATATTTGTTTTTTTTTTATTTATATTTTATTTTACTATATTATTTTTAGATTGAAAAGCATAGAAATATATTCCATGTCATTCCTATTAATGAATAAAAATACATTCAGGATTGAAAAGAATTCATTTTAACATTCATGAATCCGTAATTTTGAAAATCTGAATTTATTTTAATCCATTTCAATCTATTCTCGTTTGCTATATCGTTAATAATAATAATGTATCCTTCTTTATTATTCGGTAAACAATAGAGACAAATAATGCATCATGCGTTTCATGTGTGAACTTGAAACGCACCCTAAGATGCACCGTTACCAGGGAGATGTAAATAATTCTGTGTAAATTGTGAATCAATTGATCTGTTTGCTGTTTCTACATTAGAACTTTCTTTCTCGCTTTTGACAAACATCAAACATATACCTATCTCACTTTAATT